AATAGCCAGGGCCTTCGGGCCCCTGTCATTCTTGGAAAATGGCCCAAGGGGTGATGGGATAGCTGTGGGTCACACTCAAAGAGCTCTTTGTAATCAGCTCCCTCAGACCCCAGAGAGGGAGGGTGTGAGGAAGATGGCCCTGGAGCCTCTAGTGGCTTTTGTTTAGGCAGAAGCTAGCAACAAATGTTCTTGAAATGTCTCTGCAATGAATTTTGGACATCTTAATTCATTGAAGAAAACATCTTAGGAAAAGGAGAACACAATACAGGAAGCAACACACATTCTAGAGGAGGCCAGGCGGCTTTCCCTTCAGTGTCTGCAGCCACAAAGGCTAAGTCAAAACCAGGGCTAGCCAGTCACCTCTCACCTTGAACACCACACCCCGCCTTGTGTGTACCGCAGACCTTTTCTCTGCTTGGTACACGTGTAGCCTGAAGAAAGGAGGGAAGGAGTCAGTTCTAAGACATGCTGTTGTGCTGGGAGAGCTTGCTCTATGTGCTTCTTTCCTGTCGCAGAGAACGAGTGAGGTAGAACCAGGGGAGAGAATCTACCTAGGAAAGTGCTCTTGGTCAGCTTGTCCAAGCCCCAGCTCTAGAGGCCGAGGATGAGAAGGTGGTTTGCACATGCACAGTGTTGTCCATGAAGCAACGAGGTCCTGAGAAGGGGTCATAACATGGAGAGCTAGCATGCAAGGAAAATAAGAATTTAGCCCAGCCATCCATGAAAGGCTGACATGTAACCCCAGGGGTGTGTCCAGGTCTAATGGGAGCTTCCCTAATATCCATCTCCTGGGCGTCAAGCACACATCCTGGTTTCTGTGCATTGGCTCTGAGGACTGAGGTGGAGTGGCTTGTTCTGCCTGGTATAGCTGCAGCTGCTGTGTCTGTGTGGCACTGTAAGGTCCCCCAAACCCCCACATACTTGCACATGAAACCATGACAGAAGGCAGGTATATCATGGCTGATGCTGAGTCACATATTCCTAGAACAGTTTTCCCACACTGGTGTCCATGGTGCTCCCTGGACGAGCCTCCTGCTAGCTGTGTGACTCTGGCTAAGTAACGTTGAACCTCAGTATCCTGGAAACTACAAGTCCAGGGAGCCATCCTACTATGCGCCAAGGCTGTATGGCAGGGAGGCCACGCTAGGGACCGAGGAGCCTCAGCAGTTCTATTACATGACATTAGGGCTCCTCTTTTATCCCCAGAGAAACCTGCTAAGCAGGAGAGGAATAGCTAGAAGTACCCATGCCTGTTGGTTTTTAAAGACATCTTTCCAGCAAGGCCATGCTGTGCTACCGGTGGCTGGCAGTCCAGTGCTTCCTAGCCATCTCTACAGTGGACTTTGTGACCAGAGACTAGCATGTGGCAGCTGCCTGGGGTGAGCACAGAGCCCATATGCCCTTCCTGTGCCTTTTAGGGAACCGACCTCTGAAGGTGTTCTCTAACAGCAGCAGGACCTAACAGGAAAGGGCCATGGGGTGGCCATTGGCAGGCCCCACTGTAAGTATCATCCAGACCAAAATGTCCCTAGTCTGGCCAGCCCTGAGGAGGCAGGACAATTCCTGGGTGTGAAGTCAGGGAGGCTAGGCTTCAAACTATCTGGATCCCTCATCCTAGCTCTTAGCAGGTACCCCCTGGCCTAGGGTCAACCTGTCACCATCTCACTGTGGCTGCCTTGGCCTTCTGGGGAAGGGCATGCTGTTTCCCGGGCAGCCACAGCAATGGGACAAAAGAGCACTGGTTCTGAACTTGCAGAGGGAAGCCACAGGCTATGATGGCCTGAGTTCAAAGGTGTTTATTGTAAAGGTGTTTCTGGCTGAGTGATGGCAGCAAGTCAAGGCTCTGTTGGGGAGAACACAGAGGAATTTGGTCTTTCAGGATCAGAACCTGCCTTGGCTAGAAGAGCTGGTAAGCACTCTCTACCCATTGGTTGGGCCAAAGCTCAGTGTTGGAGACCATCTGCTTTTTCCTTCCAATTCAGCCCAAGCCCAGGAAAGGTAGGGCCTTTTCACTGCCACCCTTCTCGCTGCTCTGTCTGCCTTTGTGTGGACACTCGGGGGTGAGGGGATCCAACATTTGTGGAGGCTTTGCTGATACACAGAGAGAAAGAGAGCGACATTAGAGGTGAGCATAGAGCTGGTGCTCATACACAGGTCATCTCTCATGCCTTGTGCTTCCCTAGACAGGCCAGTGAATGCACATGGCGGTTGGGTAGATACAGCAGTCTACAGGTACCACAGCCTGTGCTGAGCTATGATCAGCTGGGCATCAGGGCCATTTGAGGGGCTAGGAGCAGGCTATGTCCTTGGGTCTTTTACAGACCCACTTCCATCAGGGACTGACTAGTAACGTGGTATTCCAACTCCCAAGTCTACCTGGTAAACCTACAAAGCCTTCAGGATACAAGACAGAAGTCTCATCTCTGAGCCATTCATGTCCTCCAGCAGGACTTGGTCATGCCACCTCAGTGACTCCATAGTCCCTCATCTGCCTCTCTTCAAGGCAGAGCACACTGGGTTATTCTGCAGAGTCCAGACAATGCCCATTGTATTCCTGGTATTTTGTTATAGTGGCTTTATAAATTCCCACAGCGTTCCAGAAATTTTGGCCCTTCCAGAGAAATCTTGTCAGACCTGCTGTGTGGAATTTGGGGGACAGAAGTGACTGGGGGCAGTGCAGATTCCAGAACACTGTCATACACTCGCCACCTCCCCACACTGAGTTCAAAGGACCGTAGTTTTCACCGAGTCAGAGGAGGGCTAGGCAGTATTGGCAACCCCCTCATGACATCATAGCACATTGTATTTTTATGACATACCCCTGTGAGGCTGTAGCTCTGTCCCCATCTCCTCACTGGAAGAAAGTTAAGGCTCAGAGGAGTTCAAAACAAAAACTTCTGTTCATTTATTTTTGAACTGAATATACAGAGAAGTTCAAGGATGACTTTGAACTTCTGATCCTCCTACCTCCACCCAAGTTTTAGGATTACAGACACAGGCCACCATACCTGGTTTGATGTATCACAGGGATCTAACCCAGTGCTTCTTGTGTGCTAGGCAAACACTACCAGCTGAGCTACATCTCCAGCCAATTAAATTGCTCTCTCATGAGCAAATGGGGGAAAGCAGTGAAGCCCATATGCAGATCTGGGTGTTTATCCCCATTTTGTTCTGGCTCAGGAATGTCCTGAGATGGCTGAGTTAGAAACCAGAGATTTCAAGTTGAAAATTGATCTGGAGACTGTGACACCAGCCTGGCTGCAAGCACGTCTGAGCCTTCATGTGGTGCCCAAGGGCACGTTTCCCCTCTGGGTATTCTGTCAGAACACAGAACACACCCCATCCTCTCCCTGGCCTCTGATTTAAACCAGGTGTGGCTGCAGATGGCACGGTCATCAGGCCTTAAACACCAGAGCTGAAGACAAACTACTTACTTCAGTCTCTTGGTTTTAAGATGCAAAAGACCATGATCAAAGGGGGCTGTTTACCTCAGGCCCAGTGCCACACACATTCTGCAGTATTTCATGTCCTAGAACTGTCAGCTGGGAACAGACGAAAGTAAATCCTACCCAGAGCCTTAGATGAGGAATGCAGGGACAGGGGACTCGCCTCCTGCCCAGAGCTCACCGAAAGAGGAAGCAGGATTTCAATGCAGGACAGTTCACTCCAGTGCACCTGCTCTCCACCCCACCCCACCCCAGTCCAGGTCCTTCTTTCAAGGTGCTATGACGGGTGTTGTGCCATGAACCTAGCTCCCTACTGCCACCACTGGCTTGTCCATCCTTGATCTGCCCACGGGCCACCCTCTTACTCACAGGTTCAGCTCAGTACTACTGTTTAGTTTTGTTTATTCTTTTTTTTTTTTTTTTGGTTTTTTGAGACAGGGTTGTTTTGGTGCCTGTCCTGGATCTCGCTCTGTAGACCAGGCTGGCCTCGAACTCACAGAGATCCACCTGCCTCTGCCTCCCGAGTGCTGGGATTAAAGGTGTGCGCCACCACCGCCTGGCTACTGTTTACTTTTGAAAGTGTGAAATAGGTACAAAACAGGATCTTCTCAGTAAAGATATCCCCCTACCAACAAAGGAGTTGGTGCCCGTGCACAGTCTTAGGTTACTTCTGCAGAGATGCCTTCCTTTAGAACATGTGGAAAATAACACTGCCTAGAGGAGGAGAAGCCAAGCTCCAGGGCCTGGCCCCCTGAAGGGGATCCTCTAGCCTACTCCCCTAAACTGAGCATTGCTGAGTCAGAAGCAGAGGCCCAACTTGGACACAAAGTAAAAGTCTGACTTTCCACATAGCCTGAGCATGTTCAATGTGAGCAGGTTACTCAGCCTGTCCCTGAAGAGCTGCAAACTCAATCGGGGGCTCTTGTGAAAATCCCAAGGCAGTATCTTGGTTATGCTTACCAGGGTGTGTTCCGAGGACCCCATTCTTCCATGACAGTATCCTGAGAATCCCAGTTTAGCATGGCATGTATGCTGAGAGTGTATGGGAGCCTTGTTGAAAACTAGGCAGCAACTGACCAAAGGAAACTCAAAGCCTTTAGGAAGAGATCCTTCTCCGCACCTATGAGGCTTTAACTTTGAACTTAATAGCACCCTCCCACTGGCCTGCAGCTTGTCAGGGGACATTTACAAAAAGGTAGCTCTGGGCCCTGCACAAGTATGTGAGCCCACAGGTGAGACACCCTAGCCTCTAAGACAGGGCAACTACAAAGCCTCAAAATATCCAAGCCTTGGCTCTTTCTTCTCAGAGACCACAGAGCTGAACCACTTCCACAGCTCCTAGCTTCTAGGCTCTACCCTCTACCACCGTATTGGAGCAGTGTGGTCTCTCACTCCTACCCATCCAACCCCAGTGGCTCCAGCAGCCATCTAAGGCGACCGATAGGGAATTAGGCAAGTCCTGAGCTGGCCTTAACTGGCCAAGGCTCTTCCCCCGGTGGAAACATGATGCCTAGCTCAGAGGCTCATGTGAGCTGGGCTCCCCAAAGGACTTACCTGATGGCTTATCAGTGGAAGATGGGAGGCTGGTGAGAGCAGGCATGGTGGGCAGAGGGGGTGGCAGCACCTTCAGGTTCTGGTCACTCTGGATCTCATTGGTGGAGATCTGGTTGATAATACGGTTGTAGGTGGGTGGTTGGTAGACCCGAGGTGGGGTGGCTGGGGGTGGCTGGGGCACAGGTCTGACAGAAGGTACCCGCTGACAGTGTTCCTCAAGCTGTGCAATGACCTCTGATTGGTTGTGGGCCAGCATGGCCAGGTGCTGGAACTTGTGCTCCAGGTCCTTGTACTTGCTAGCCAGCTGCAGCATGTCGGCCGTCTGGTTCAGAATCCTGTTCTCCAGCTGGGAGAGCTCCAGCGCGTTGTCCCGTTTGCGAATGATCTCATGTAAGAGCTGCATGTACAGCTGCGTGACTCGAGAGTTCATGTTGCGGCTCTCCTTCCGCAACAGCTTCACCTCGCTCACGATGCCGCCATCTACCTCCACCAGCTGCTGCAGTGTCTCAATCTGCCGCTTCTGCTTAAGCAGCTCGTTGTTGAGCAGCTCCAGCTCCTGCTTGTGCACACGGTTCTCCAGGTGCACCTCTGGCTCCTTGGAGTTGACACAGATGGCACCTGTAACCCGCTGCTGTGGCACAATGAAAGTGTAGGTGCACTTGTCTGGAGACTCACCTGCCCGCTTGTACCTGTTGAGGTAAATGTACTCTCTCTGTGAGCCATCCTCTGTGCCCTCAACATCATCCTCTGGACCTGTAGCAGCTCCGACAGTGGCCAGCAGTCCAAGCCACCAGCAGGTCACACACAGTGACCTCATGGTCCTTGCAGTGTGGTGGTTGGTCTTTATGAATGAGGTCTCTGAAAGCCTGAGAGTGGAGAAATGGAGTCAGTGATAGTCCCATCCCTGCCATTGGCCTGTGCCAGCAGGACAGTACCCAGATACATTGTAGGGAGGCTACGTTCCACTCTCCTAGAGTCAGAGAGAGAACAGTTGTTGTGGAAATATCAGAAGATGGTGTTGCCCTGCCGAGGTAGAGAGGAAAAGGGATCTGCCAGTCCTAGAGCCCAAGAACTTGACACTGGGCATGGGGGCTGGGGGAATGTCTAATCCTGCTCTGACCTTCACATTTCTGTGTTCTGTATTCTCATACCCCAGAGCTTTCCCCATGCTCTGCCTATCTCAGCTCTCTGATCTCAGCCCTGCTGGATTGACATTCTCTAAGGGCAGGTCTTTCTCAACCTCCTACCCCTCAAATGTGGCATCAAGAAGGCTTTTCAGCAAGTGTCCACTAAATGAATGAGCTGCTAGACACAGAATGGAATGCACTCACTTAGTAGTGAGTGTCCATAGAAGGATGCATCCCATCACATGACATGGCTTTAGTCTGTGTGCTAGCCAAGCTACAGAGCCCCAAACAAGAACAATCTGACCTCCTCTACACCCAAATGCTGTAACAGCCAATGACTTCAGGGTCCCCATCATTGCAGTGAGATTAAATCAGGAAGGAACAGAAGTTAGACATATGTCTCTGGCTTGTTTCTTAGATAGTATATCCCTTCCTCATATGATCATCACAATCACACATTACAATGTGCCAGCAGTGTGCTGGATGCTGGGGATGTGACTGCCCAGAACATATCTCCCAAGAGCTGTAAGGAGGAGCATCACGTGTTGTGAAAGGGTATGGCAGGGCCCTGACCTAATAGAGGGGTCAGGAGCACTTCCCTGGGAAAGTGACCTTTACACTGACTCTTGAGGGATGAGTTAGATAGGCCAAGAGGGACATTAGGATGTGCCCGGGGCTACTTCCCTGTGTTCTTACAGTGTCCTTGACGGTAGCTTCTCTGCTTTTTAATTCTTACAACATATATTTATTTGTGTGTATGTATGTAGTGGCACAAGTGCCATAGCACACTTGTGGAGGTCAGAGGACAACTTGCAGCAGTCAGTTCTCTCCTTCTACTGTGTCTGTCCCAGGCATCAACCTCAGGTCATCGGGCTTGGTGGCAAGAACTCTTACTCACTGGTCCATCTCACCAGCCCTAGATACTCTTAATTCTGTATCACAAAGCGGGAAACTGAGGTCAGGTCTTAAGATCACAAGGCTAGAAGGCGGCACAATGAGCATGCAGTCCTGGGCTGACAGCTGTTAGCAGCTGGAAGCCACCAGCATCACCACTTCTGCACTTCACATTCACAGCTGCTGAACACCAGCTGTGGCACAGGATCCCGTGGAAGCTTCTGCTGGGAGCCCCTGGCTGCAGGCTGCACCAGGACTAGCCAATGGGCAGCTGCAGATCAGACCCTGTTCTCCATGGGGCTGTGCTGTGCTGTTTCTACTGAAGTCCAGAGCCCATGCTTGGTTCCAACAGTCAGAAAGGGCCCATTGGACCAGCCAGAGAGAGTATTTAATGGAGTATTTATATAGCTATTCTGTAGAGAGGTGGGGCTTCAGTGGAAACAGCCTAGTTTGACAATGTTTGCCTGGTTTCCAAAGCTTTGGCTCTTGGGAGCTGGTGGCCACACCCCCTGCTGCAGAAGAATAGGGAGAAGCTGGGCTCCAGGCTAGGGTGGGCCCTCCTGCCTCACCTTCTGTGGGCAGCTCACCTGCCTACTTGGTGACAAACACCTCTGTGCTGTGGCCAAGAAACTGCCAGAATGCCAAGGAGGTAACTTGGCACCAGAGAAAACACTTGATTTCTAAACATTCCTGGGTATCCAAACCCGGAGGCTGTGCCATGCCCGTCCCAAGTATGGGTCCTCACGGGTCTTGCCTTCATACTTGAGATCCTGAAGACTGAGTGCCTCTTCTGCCTACCCACATTGCACATTGGGTAAAGAAACGTGAGGGTAGAATGTGTGGTGGCCACATGATGGCAAGAACAGCAAAATAGCACTGAGGGGTGCGGAGGATGGCTGCACTGTGGGTAGAGCGCATTGCCTATTGGAGGAAATGCCATTAATGGCCCACTTCATAGAGGACCCGGGTCCAAGCCACAAAGCTGCTCAGACCAGGTTCTGACCCTAGGCAGCTGCCCGGTGCCGGCACACGGTGAGCAGCGCTCACACATGTTCTTACCACTCCAAAGCCTGCAGTCTTTCTTGTGTTGTACCTGGCTGAAAGCAGAGGAGCTGAGAGCTCAGAAAGGTGTGAGGTCACCGGCTAGTGGAGAACCAGTCGGTCCCCAAGTGTCCTGGTGGAGCCTGGGCTTACAGTTCCATCTCCAGGGCCTGAGCCTGGTGGGCTGATTGGAGCCTTACAGAAAGGAATGGAAGGAACAGAGTCCCCTGCTGGGGGCCTGACGCCCACGCTCTACGTAAGTCAGCAGTGTCAGTGACCAGTGGAGGAGACACTTGACATCCAGTTAGGCAGGGTGGCCTGCCTAGGGACACGCAGCAGGTAAGAGCCCAGGTTGGACCACCAAGGGGCTTACTGCAGGGCCGTGCTCCCCATGTGGCCCTTGGCCTCCCTAGCAAGCGTTTGTTTTCTCTAAGGATGATTCTAACCCATCTTCTGTTAGTTTGGCAGTCTTGAATGGGCAATAATGAGTCTGTTTACTTTTGCTTTCTTGATATTTATTCAGCTAATTGCATCCCAAGAGAAGTAACCCCCAGCATTCCAGCCGCCTTAGGCTGGGGACTAGCTCAACTCTAGTCAAAGCACCCTCCTCGCTCTCTCCCATGACCAACAAAGAAAAGCAAACCCAACTGTTTTCCTTGGCTTGGAAATTAAAATAAAAACACCGATCCGAATTGCTTTTCCACATTGTGTGGTGAGGAGTTTCCATTGTGCTGGGCTTCCCTCTCCCCGCCACCAAGGCTGCAGTGACCACGTGGCAGGCTGGCCTGGGCACATGGGGAGGTGGACTCCCTGAGCCCTCCAGTGGGCTGCATCTGAGTGTCCCCATTGGCCTGTGTGGTGGGGCCACACACTGCATGTCTGCATCCCTTTTGCCGTCACGGCACTGTACCCAGGTAGTGCTGCCTTGTGAAAGAAGCCTCGTTTTGGTGATAGAGCCGTCTCCTGCTCTGTGGCAGAAGCTACTGGCTTGGGATATACTTCTGAGTTCTTCTCTGAAAGATTAGGAATGAGAAAAGTTCAGATAATAAAAATAACTCTAGCCAATTCTTTCTGTGGCCCATGCACTTTATCTACATCATGTCACTGAATCTTTCCAGCAGCCTTTTGGGAAGGGCCCATTGCTTCAGGGCAGCCATGTAGCTAGGTGCTGGGGCCCACACCTGTGTGTTAGGTAACAGCAGGCCAGTTCCCCCATTTGACTGCTGAAGTGCTGAGGTGCTTTGCTGGTGAGCTCTGCCATTCTAGGGGGACACAGTCATGGTCTTTTGGGGTTTGTGTATTTCTAGTATTCTTTCCTTTTTCTTTAGATAGGGTCACATGGTTCTCAGGCCGGCTCTGAACTCCTTGCTGAGCTACATCCCTACTCCTAGTGCAGCTGTTTAATTACCACAGAGGTGCAGTCAGGGCTAATAGCAGGACAGGCGAGGAGACAGCTGAGACCTGAAGACAGTGAGCCGTTTGCCTCAGTCACGGCACTACTAAATAACAGAGCCAGGTAGCAGGTGCACCACATACACCATGCCTGCTATGGAAATGACAGTGTGCCAGGGAACCCCAAGGAAAGCATTCTGATCCTCTAGGCAGGAGGAGGCCAGGGGTGCTCCAGGGTCTGCAGGACTGGCTTGTGGGGGTGCTTTCCTGGTCAGTCCAGGCTGCAGTCTTCTGGAAGAGTACCCTGGAAGAGCCGAGCTAGCACTGCACTGCCAGTTATGAGCCCAGACCTGAGGAGGCATCCCAGACATACCGGAGACCTGAGAAGTGACCTCTGCCAAGGCCACGAGGCCCACATGTGCCTAGCTGGCCCTGCCCTCCAGCTTCTGGGAATCTAGAGACTTCACCAGAGCATGAATGGAAATGGCAAATCCAAGATCAGGACATCAGAGAACCCAGCAAAAACATAAACACCAGCAAATGGTCATTCTTACAAAAGCTGCAGAAAGACCAGGCTTGCCTGCAGAGCGGTGCCTAGGCCAGCTGCTGTCCCAGGACAAGGAGGGAACCAGCTACAGAGAAAGTCTCGAAACAGCCATCAGGTCGAGCATGTGGCCAGTAGTATTGAGAATAATGGCTGTCCTTTGTTGTAGACGTGTGTGCCCCCACACACTGTCTTGTTGGTTACTGGCTGGCTTGCCTGAAGCCGGGTGTCATCTGGGAGTACTGTTAATAGCACCCAGGCAGTATGTTACAGACTCCTGACCGAGGAGACAGATCATACCTGTACTGGGCACTGAGGAGAGCCCAGGCTCCAAGGTGTTGGGTCACCTGGAGTAAACATCAGGACCAGATCTGATGGACACTGCAGCCCCGTGCCCTCACTTCAAGGTCACCTCTCCAACCAGTAGGAATAAAAGACACCAATTTGTTTGATTGCCTAATAGCCAGGATGCAGTTGCTTCTTACTGTTGACCAGATGAGCAGACACAGCTTTCAAGTCAGTACAGGAGTGAATCTCATTGGATGTTAGAAAGAGCTTCTTGATCCTGTGAGTGGTGAGACCCCAGAATGGGCATCACAGAGAACAGTGGTAGACTCACCTTGGACAGTCTGGAGAAGGAACTGTGCATCATTTATCCTCCATGGAATCACTCCCAGCCTGGAGGCCAGGGAGGGAATAACCAGTCTCCAAATGCCACCCTTCCCAACCCAGGATCCTGTGAATCATCCCTCACTAGGAGGCCGTGAGGGCCCCCTGGGAGGCTGCAGCCCATTCCCCGCTTCCTCAGTTTAGCAGTCACCAGACCTTTATAAAGTCCCCCTACTCAGCCTTCTACCACCCACTGGTT